CCCCCCCCACCCCCCCCCCACTTGTGCCGCTACATGGGCAGTTCCTCTTTTTCACATTTATTTTACTCCTGAGTCACTGGAGCAGCGGGTTTTACGCACTAGGGCGGGTTGCAAACTACTCTGTAAGACTTGATTACCCACATGGTTCAGTGTCAGACCCTTGCTCCAACATTTGATCACCGCTATCTGTAACGATAACATGCTATGCCGGGCTCCCTATGGGATGCCCACCTCTTGTTCTTTTGCATTGTTTCTTTTGTGGCTGAAACCTTAATGTGTATATGAAGATTTCAATAAAAACAGTTTGCACCAAAAAAAGACACCGAAGAGTTCTAGCTCTGACTCGGATGAGGCATGTCAGACCTCTGCACAGAGACCACTGCTTCCAAACAGAGACCAGGGGTCCACCTATGCATCATGCTGGCAGGGGACAGGCGTTTCTACTCAGGCTGTAGTTGCTTTCTAAAGAAAGTAAGTAATTAAACTTTACAGACCTTTTGTTTTGATAAAACCTGGAATGTATTTAGCCAATTAAAATGGAAAGTTCTGTGGAGCTTCTTAAAATTACATGCAGCAGAAATCCTAATGCATTCTCTCACTCGCGCTTTCTATACACACACACACACACACACACAATGCCGTTACACAGTTGTATAAATATGACACAATGCACAGCCAGGATTAATATTCATATTACTGTGAAGTGACATTTTTATATAGTTAATTTTCCTTAAGCCATTATCTTTGGCATTGGTAGCTGGTTTATATACTGCCAGCTTTGGCTATTGCACCATGTTTTCTGTATTCCCTCCCCCTGTGGGCGATGTACTTCCCTTCTTCTCCAAGTAGTTGTTTAGTGTCATGGCTGATTGTAACCACATGTATATGCTTGCTTGGAAACATTAACATCTCTGACCTTCAAATAGCGTCTGTTCATTCATCTGCTGCATGCAATAAAGCTCTTCGAGGATGAAAAGGGATTTGACGAGTTCAGCTCTCTGATAAGGATTGTCCGAAGTTATGGCATCTGCTTATACAGGCCAGGCATAAAGGTCTCAGCAAGGGAAATTGTTAATTTTAACAATCGGAGTCAGGATACACACACACACACACACACACACACACACACACACACACACACACACCAATAATGTTTTTTCGGTTGCGAGATTATATATATATATTTTCCCGCTACTCTCCGATACCAAATACCGATACTGTAAGTCCCATTAAGGAAGCCGGGCGGGATGTAAATGACTCGACGTCCGGCTTCCTGTTTTGCTGGGAAGCCATCTCCATGCTCCCTCGTCACCAGGAGATGTGGAAGCATGGAGCCGGCTTTCTGGCCAATCAGGAAGCCAGGGGGCAACTCATTACCCGCTCCGCAGATTCCTGATTGTCCAGGAAGCCGGCTCCATGCTCCTTGGTGACCAAGAAGCATGAAGCCGGCTTCCCGACCAATAAGCCGGGAAGCCGGGCATCGTGTAATGACTTGCCGCCCAGCTTCCTGTTACCAGAAGTTATGGTATCGGGCTAGGCATGGGGAGCATTTGGGCGAGTGCTTGCCCATATACTAAGTATCGGTGCATCCCTACACAAAAATAACATTCCGAATTGTTGCCCATAAACAAAAATCAGCAAAACTTTCCCTAAAGGCATCCAAATCATTAGTATCCAATCAGGAGCAACACTCAGATGATTATAGGATTATTGAAGCGATGAGTCTTAACAGATGCAATACTTTCTATGTTTTGTTATTCGGTTAGTTGTTTAATAAACAGAATTCTAGAACTGAAAATATATTGATGCCCCTATTGTAAACATGTGTCAGTGACCCAGGGGGGCTGTTCCTCGTCAGGTTCGCAGGCATCGGGCACAGGTAGCTCCTCCCCCTCCCCCTGGCAGGGCATCTGGTGCCGGTGTGGCCAGTGCGCAAGGCGCAAGTCGCGTAGTGCGCCTGCGCCGTTCCAAGCCACAGGTGCTACTCAGGCTGGGGGAGGACTTCAGCCTTCACCATTTGCCCTCAGCCTTGTGATTGGACTCTGACTGGGGAAGCTTCCTGGTTGCCCTGGCAACCAAGGGCGGTCCTGGGTTCCCTGTGTATTTAAAGCTGGTCAGAGCCTTGACTCATTGCTCAGTTATTCTACCTCATGGTGAACACCCAGCTCCCTCCTGTGAACCTGTTGTTTGATCTGACTTGCCGGCTACTGACCCTTTTGCTTGACCCTTGCGACTACGATTCCTGCTGCCCGTCACGACCCGGAACTGGACCCGACTACCCGATTGGATTATACTTTTGTACTGCACTTTTTGGACATTATTCGTCCCTGCCAAGGGGTTCAACACCTGGCCCATTATTCCAGCCCTGACAACATGTCCCAGGCGACGAGGCTTACTTGTAACAAGAGTGGACGTAAAAGCTGGAGGAATTAGAGAAAATCAGCAATTTCTATATTTGATACATTTGTTGACATTGAGATCGGCAGACGCTTCCATTTGCCCAGTGAGCCCCAGCGTCACCCGTCTCTGTCCATCACTGCAGGGCCCTCCTTACCATCTTGTCTTAAATTGTATTGTGACTGTAATGTCTTCCTTATATTGTAAAGCGCAGCGCAAACTATTGGCGCTCTATAAGTCCTGTATAATAATAATAATAATGGTAATAGTAATAATAACAAGCAGTACTGTTACTACACTCAGCGCTTTACATTTAAAGGAGAACTATGGGGTCAGTGTTTTTCCCCATAGTTCTCCTTAGGGTAACGGGAGGACAAAAACTAGCGCCCTCCCGTCACCCTAAGCTCAGTATACCGCGAGCTACATTAATATTCATATTACTGTGAAGTGACATTTTTATATAGTTAATTTTCCTTAAGCCATTATCTTTGGCATTGGTAGCTGGTTTATATACTGCCAGCTTTGGCTATTGCACCATGTTTTCTGTATTCCCTCCCCCTGTGGGCGATGTACTTCCCTTCTTCTCCAAGTAGTTGTTTAGTGTCATGGCTGATTGTAACCACATGTATATGCTTGCTTGGAAACATTAACATCTCTGACCTTCAAATAGCGTCTGTTCATTCATCTGCTGCATGCAATAAAGCTCTTCGAGGATGAAAAGGGATTTGACGAGTTCAGCTCTCTGATAAGGATTGTCCGAAGTTATGGCATCTGCTTATACAGGCCAGGCATAAAGGTCTCAGCAAGGGAAATTGTTAATTTTAACAATCGGAGTCAGGATACACACACACACACACACACACACACACACACACACACACACACACACCAATAATGTTTTTTCGGTTGCGAGATTATATATATATATTTTCCCGCTACTCTCCGATACCAAATACCGATACTGTAAGTCCCATTAAGGAAGCCGGGCGGGATGTAAATGACTCGACGTCCGGCTTCCTGTTTTGCTGGGAAGCCATCTCCATGCTCCCTCGTCACCAGGAGATGTGGAAGCATGGAGCCGGCTTTCTGGCCAATCAGGAAGCCAGGGGGCAACTCATTACCCGCTCCGCAGATTCCTGATTGTCCAGGAAGCCGGCTCCATGCTCCTTGGTGACCAAGAAGCATGAAGCCGGCTTCCCGACCAATAAGCCGGGAAGCCGGGCATCGTGTAATGACTTGCCGCCCAGCTTCCTGTTACCAGAAGTTATGGTATCGGGCTAGGCATGGGGAGCATTTGGGCGAGTGCTTGCCCATATACTAAGTATCGGTGCATCCCTACACAAAAATAACATTCCGAATTGTTGCCCATAAACAAAAATCAGCAAAACTTTCCCTAAAGGCATCCAAATCATTAGTATCCAATCAGGAGCAACACTCAGATGATTATAGGATTATTGAAGCGATGAGTCTTAACAGATGCAATACTTTCTATGTTTTGTTATTCGGTTAGTTGTTTAATAAACAGAATTCTAGAACTGAAAATATATTGATGCCCCTATTGTAAACATGTGTCAGTGACCCAGGGGGGCTGTTCCTCGTCAGGTTCGCAGGCATCGGGCACAGGTAGCTCCTCCCCCTCCCCCTGGCAGGGCATCTGGTGCCGGTGTGGCCAGTGCGCAAGGCGCAAGTCGCGTAGTGCGCCTGCGCCGTTCCAAGCCACAGGTGCTACTCAGGCTGGGGGAGGACTTCAGCCTTCACCATTTGCCCTCAGCCTTGTGATTGGACTCTGACTGGGGAAGCTTCCTGGTTGCCCTGGCAACCAAGGGCGGTCCTGGGTTCCCTGTGTATTTAAAGCTGGTCAGAGCCTTGACTCATTGCTCAGTTATTCTACCTCATGGTGAACACCCAGCTCCCTCCTGTGAACCTGTTGTTTGATCTGACTTGCCGGCTACTGACCCTTTTGCTTGACCCTTGCGACTACGATTCCTGCTGCCCGTCACGACCCGGAACTGGACCCGACTACCCGATTGGATTATACTTTTGTACTGCACTTTTTGGACATTATTCGTCCCTGCCAAGGGGTTCAACACCTGGCCCATTATTCCAGCCCTGACAACATGTCCCAGGCGACGAGGCTTACTTGTAACAAGAGTGGACGTAAAAGCTGGAGGAATTAGAGAAAATCAGCAATTTCTATATTTGATACATTTGTTGACATTGAGATCGGCAGACGCTTCCATTTGCCCAGTGAGCCCCAGCGTCACCCGTCTCTGTCCATCACTGCAGGGCCCTCCTTACCATCTTGTCTTAAATTGTATTGTGACTGTAATGTCTTCCTTATATTGTAAAGCGCAGCGCAAACTATTGGCGCTCTATAAGTCCTGTATAATAATAATAATAATGGTAATAGTAATAATAACAAGCAGTACTGTTACTACACTCAGCGCTTTACATTTAAAGGAAGTGAACTCTGCTGCCCCCTTCTGGTGGCATAAAAGAACACAGCGCTGTCCATTCCCTGATGCAGTCTACAGCAGACCTTCTTAAACTTTCTCCACTCGTGACCCCTTTTTGGCCGAGGAAATTTTTAAGGGACCCCAGCATCAGACGGTGTCTCTCCCCTCTTTCCCCCCAACGTTGGTCGGTGTCTCCTCTTTCCCCCAACGTCGGTTCGGTGTCTCTCTCCTCTTCTCTCCCCGCCCCCAGCGGTGATGGCGGTCCTGGCCGGGACTCAGATCGCGACCCCCCTGTTCACTTGCGGGACCCCATATGGGGTCGCGACCCACACTTTAAGAAGCACTGGTCTACAGGACATTGCTACAATAGAGGCATCATTTGTCATTTTCCCAGGAAGGTTAGTCAGAGATAGGTTTTGTTATGCGTTTAAGGTTGTTATGCGTTTAAGGTTGTTAAATGGTGAACGATTTTTTATTAAAAGTACTTTGTATTCTGAACTTTACAACCGCAGTGCGGTGTAACAAATGGGACCTCCGTGTGGAGGAGAGGAAGCTTTGCATCTGAGTTCAGACTCGGCAGGAAATTGCAGCGGCATTGCGGATTGCAGCACCAAGGGACTCCCCCGTGGACGCGGCTGATACTTACAATGTACATTTAACTACTCGAGTGATCCGGAAACATTGTGCTTTAATGTCAGACTATCACTATAAAAACACAGTGAGAACTCGTTGTTTGATATTTTCTGAACATGATCAATAAAAAGGAACATTCAAATTTTAAGCTGAGCTCCAGACAAACAGATAAAATACATATATTGGGGGGGAGGGGGGGGTTGGTTTTACCTGCCAAATGAGATGGGTTTCTGTCCATCCCGCCCTGAGGTTAACACATCTCTGCAACACTACACAGTTCTATCTGGCAGGGGAGGGGGATCTGATCTTTCTCTGCTGAGCTTTGGTAACATATACATGTCCTGCCTATCCCCCAGCATGTGACTGGACAGTGAAAGGAAAGGCAGCAGACTCATAAACTTGTTTCTCTGCCACTCTGCTGCCTTCGTCTATCCATATGCTATTTGCACTGCAGCAGACTTGATTGGCTCCTTGTACTGCTTCTTGCTCTTTCAGTCTGTGCTCTGCTGTACAGGGACTGCAAATGGCTGATAACAGACCCAGGTCAGGTACTTGCACTGCACAATTGTCTAAAATGTCTTTGCATGCTGTAGCATTGACAGTACCCTCCACTAGAAACACCTGAAGAGGGGTCCACATACATCTGTGTATCTCTCAGGGACTGTTGTCAGGAGCGTAACTAGAAATCACAGGGCCCCATAGCAAAATTTTGTATGGGGCCCTGTGATTTCTAGTTACGCCCACCTGATAACCCAAACAGCCCACCTGAGAGTGACCCTGCAGAGCCCACCATAGACTCTCTATGGTGGGCTCTGCAGGGTCTCAGGTGGGCGGTCAAGCCCTCTTACCTGCCAGCCCCGATCCACTGTCCGCCTCCTTCTCCTCCACGATGGCTGGCCGGCCCTGCCTCCTCCGTCACTGGCCCCACCTCCTCGATCACCGGGCCCCGCCTCCCCATCGCTAAGCCCTACCTCCTCGATCGCTGGGCCCCGCCTCCTCCATACCGTGACAGGGGGAGGGACTCGATTCCCCCCGATCCTCCAGCGTTGACTGGCGGAACGGACGAGGGAGGGGGCGGGTACAGCTGGCTCTGCCTCTAGATAGGCAGAGCCAGCTGTCACTCACGCAGCTGGGCGGATCTCGACATCGATGACGGGATCGGCTCCGGCTGCGGCGTCTCAGTATATAGGGAGCTGTAGCTCGCGGTATACTGAGCTTAGGGTAACGGGAAGACGCTAGTTTGTGTCCTCCCGTTACCCTAAGCAGAACTATGGGGAAAAGCCCTGACCCCATAGTTCTCCTTTAATGTAACTTACTACATACACACAGCTTTATGAATGTCATTATGTTTTAGTATGTACAGCTTGATACGTTCCAGCGGAGAGATTTTCTTTTCATGATCCCAGCCTGGACTCGGCTCCTCTGCGCTCTCCCTATAGGACTCTGCTGTACATCGAGCAGCTTTGTGTCATGTCTCAGGAGAATGGATAACTCTACCGTATACTGGATAATAGACACGGCTGGAAAGCACAAAATCAAAACGAAGGAATAAAAGCAACGACCATCAATGTAAAGACCTAAAACAGGTCGTCTTACCCTCTGACTGTGCTGCAACATCGGCAGAACTGTTTAATCTCTTTGTACACCAGACGAGCCAGAAACTGGAAGATACAAGAACTCGGTCAGTATTCATGAACATCGCTTGCTACAACGTCATACAGGTCTGTTCCGGAATGTCAGCACTTATCATTCAGCTGGTGAGAGAGTCACTTGGGTCTGCCCCCGAGGATAAAACAATCAGCTGGATAGCAGACCTAAAGTCATTAAAGGCCAACTTTACCTTTCTGACCCAAATTCAGGGTGTAACATGGTCACAGTGGTGTCACAGGGTGTGTGTG